GGTCATGAAAGACGTGATCAAGTCTGGAAAAATCTTCTTTTGTTAAGTTTTCACTATCCTATATTAGGTTATGAATAAGAAGTTGAAACATCTGTATATCATTATATATAATAATATTTGAAAATTATTTTAAAATGCATTAGAACACTGACATTTTTATCTGTAATATATGTCTTCATATGACATGTGCTTGACAAGTATTGTGCACATCAAATAAAATACATCATTATTGTAGATTTCACAAGATTGACTAAATAATTGCCATGCATAAGTCAAGTCTTAATCTATCCCATTCTTAAAGGTCTGCATAAATAGGGATAATGCACAGCCTACATAAAATATTTGGATTCATTCATAATAGCAAGGAAAGTGTTCAAAATTAATAAAGGCCCACAGAAGAGAGTGCTGTCAAGTTCCAAGAATACCCTTTTAGACAGCCATTGCAGTTGATGCAGTTAATTATCAAGAGTAATATATTTCTACAACATAGACTGAAAGCTATCATAAGCTTTGAAAGAAACAACAAAATCACCCAATTTCTTTCTATTTCAAGTTGTATTTATGTAACTGAAATCCAGTGTACTTTGCAAAGCTGTTTTTAATGCGTTTCAATTGACATTCCACTATTTACTTCAAAAACATCCTTCACGTCTTCAAGCACTGTCCTGCGTTTTAGCCAGCAGCTGTTTGCATAACTAAAAAAAATAAAGATGTAGCAGGGAAGAAAGAACATAATTATGATTTCAGAACACCAGCAAAATTGGCTTGCCTTCGACATGTCCCAAGCAAACCAACCCATTATTTGTAATAATTCGCAACCTCAACAGAATGCTCATCAAGACCTCACAAACTCAGTGTTTCATTAACTTTCTGCCTTGTACAATTTCTAATTAACTCCAGTAATAACTCAAACTGGGTCTGGAAAACAAAGCGAACCAGATCCAGACAACACACGAAAGGGACAAATACTGACCCATTACATTTAACCCCTGTCATGACAAAACATAGTGTTTACACATTCTTTACCCATCTCTAATGAAGATGGACACAACCCAAAAGGTAGGGTGGTTTTAAGGACATTAGCTACCAGTACTTAAAACTAGAATGTGCCAAAAGCCTTCATGACAGGCCGTTATGAGCATTTAGGAAAGAAACTTTTTAAAAAAAATTGATCTTTACTCTTGTAGTTTTTCTACTTACTGACTTGCAAGTAGAAGTCCAGCTTTAGAAAACCAAGATTACTATACAAGACACAAGTCTCTACCCAGATGCCAACTCATAACAGACACACAATCAAAATAAGTCTCTTCTTGAGTGGCTTCTACTCTGAGTAGCATTTAGAGAATTTAAGAGGCCTGAGAGTAATTCCTGCCAGCGTGGAAAAAAAAAAAAAAAGACATTTTACTGTCAGGTACCAGTCCTTCGGAAGTTTTCCTTAGGCAAGGTATACAGAAGTTTACCATCTTTTCAACAAATGCTGAAATCTCCCAAAACATCTGAAAGATATCCTCCTCACTTGCACCAAGTTTTCAAGAAAAAGTGTATCATAAAAATCACACATTTATTGATTCAAAAAAATAGCTGCATTAACCAAAGATGCAAATTCTCAGCTCTGGTTTTCTGTGGAAGCTTTTCAAAGGAGGTGCTATCATCATTGCTACCCTGAGTTACTTCATCGCCAGTAGGGAGAATGACAGAGGGAGACACATACACATTTAAATAGCATGATCTGACCAGAACTGAGCTTCAGCCATACTAACTGCAATAATGATGTTTTAGGATGCAAACAGTTTCAAGACATTTTATTTGTTAAAAGCTCAGACAGGTAAATCTGAAAGTCACAAAGTTAACACTGTAATCCTCAAAAAATCCTGCATCTATATTTAATCCAGACACCTCACAGATTATAGTACATATCAAATCCATGGCATCACTCAAGCCAAGTCTTTCAGCAAGAAAAAAAAAAATTGTTAGGCACACGTTGAGGTCCTACTGGATAAAAAAGAATCACACACACCCCTAGGCTCTTCTTCATTTCTTCTACAGATTTTTGATAGTAACTTTGCAGCATCCGTCTTAATACACTTAGGAAATCAGCAATTACTTTTAATCATATGAGAATTCTTACACTTTCCTCCTACATAACTGAAAAGAGTTTTCAACTTTAAGTGATCCTAAGGCTATTCCTCTTGAAAGGCATTTGCTAAATGGATTCTCTTTTTTACATGTTATCGAGGAGGAAGAAAAGCATCGCTCTTTTCTTTTTTAAGTCTAATTAACAATACACAAAAGGATTTCTCTGCGGACTTATTCTCTGATCAATGTTTAGGGGGACTAACACACACACAGACTGACATGGCTAATTCTGTGATTCATAAATGCAGAAGGAAATCAGTTATCTGACACCATCTGAGAGATCAGATTCACAAAACATGTCTGGTCTATCCTAAGATGAAACGAAAAAATCCCCTTCATGTCACAAAGGCCAAACCATCGGTTATCTTTCAAAGAACTAAAACTTTCAAAAACTCTTATTCAAAATGCCCATAGCTCTTCATAAAGGTCTAGTTTTTCCTATGACCATATATCAATGTTGTCATGCTGTATGTGTGTAGCTTTGAGTAAGTCAAAAGCGAAAAGGGCTATTTTTATAAAAGAAAACTAGCTAACATTAGTCCATAATAACTTAGAAAGCATTCCCATGATCAGAGTGCTGGCACTGGGAAGAAAGAATTACATAAACTCATCCTGAAGTGCCTACAAATACAGCCCTTTACCAGCATAAGACAAGATAAGAAGCTACTCAATACAGCAGCGCAAAGACAGTCAATTTAGTACAGCATTTATGTCATTAAGGCTGCATATTATTAATTACTGAAGTAAAATAAATCATTGTCACTTCACTTGCAACATATTCATCCATTAATTTCAAACAGTACACATAACTGCCTTGAAAAACTACTTCACTTCCAATATACTTAGGCATAAGCATTTGCACAGCTTATAAAATTGAAAGATCTCAGAAATGCCTGTTAAAAAAAAAATCACAAGAAAATTTAGACTCTATTTTCAGTTTTTATTGGATAACTCTAAGTCAAATTTACAGTCATTCTATGTATACAAACAGAAAAACAACATTTTCACAGTCTACTCACATTCACATTTGAACTATAGCACTTGTACCAAAAAGCGACTTCTATTCTCTTACCACTAACTGCTGCATGTTGCTTCAGATATTCTCTTCTGACATTTATGTTCTTCACAAGGCACTGCCTAGCATGAGCTCTTCTCTCTTTCACGGGATCTTTTGCACACAGTGCACAAATAGCCATATATTCCAGTGGCAGTCGTAGTCTAGAAAGGCCTTTGTGAAGTTTCTGAGCAAATATTTGTCTCACTTGGTAACATTCATCCTATTAAAAAAAGCAAAACCAAAAAAGGTATCAGTAAACTTTTCTAAAAGTAATATAGACTTGAAATAAGTACATATGCCAAAATCAATTTCAGACCTTGCAGCCACAGAAAAACAGAAATTGTAACAATGTTTTTAAATGTCAATTCAGAACAATTAAATTGAATTAATCACTTGAAGCTTCCCTTAAGATCAGTAGAAGAGTTAAGGTTCAGAAACTGTACAGGAAGATATCACACTCAGAACCCAAGGTCTAATTTAGGATGGTATTAAGGCATGGAGTTAATGAAATTGTTTACAATAGGACCACTTGCTTTGTGGAGCCAAAGTCAAATATCTGCACCAGAACAGTGTTTAGCCACCAGTAACCACTGTGCTGACTTTACTACTGTGATTTCACAAATTTTCATCAAGGCATTAATATTAGAAACTGAATAAAATTCAATAGAATTACCAGATAAGGTCAAATGCTGAAGAGAGCATTTCCATTATATTATGGAAAACTATGAACTCTGACTGACCATGGAAGAGAATAACCTGTGTCTAATAGTTGCCAAATAACACAAAGTAAAATAGTATGAAGTAAGCAAATGTACTTCTACAATTTAAGCAACGCATTTCCGTAAAAGACATGAACTTTAAAATTCTCTGTATGAAAATAACTTAGGTACTTTAAGACACCATTCATATATCACAAACCCTTTAGTAACACAAGCAAAGGAAGGTTAATAGAAGCAGGTACGGAAAACAGAAGAAAATGTACAGAAAAGCATAAGGTAAAGAAGGCCACTAAAACAGCTTGTCATATTGAGTCTGCCAAAAAAAGGTCAAGAGGAAAGATTTGTTAACTCTAAATATGAGGAAGAAGCATTAACAGGAATAAACAGCTATTGTAATCAAATGACAGTTTTGAAACCAGCAAGAATTGAAAAGGGTTTCCAGCTATCAGCCAACAGAAAGTGCAGAGACAAAGCCTAGCCACTGGTAACATTGACTCTGCTAAATTCTCAAATGGCATCAAACGAGATCATGGATTAGATAAAACAAGCCTCCTTGACTCGGAAGACAAAGGAAGGTATAGTTTATTGTTACTGATGGTGTTGTGTGGCACAAATTGGAATGATTATTTCTTTATCTTTTAATATTGAGAATAACCTTAAATTCAGCTCAGTTACACTAGTTCACTGAGAAGAAGGGAGACCAAACTCAACCAAATTCTACTTTTTTTATAGCATGGCAATAAACCCATACATTAGCCCAATTTTATGTATCTACTTCTCAGGAGTTCACCATTTAAAAATATTTTAAAAAAAAAATATTTGCAAAGCAGCATGTACCCCTCAGATGCAACTCTGATTCTTGAAAATGGATAGACTCACATAAACAATTAAAGTGCTCTCAGAGTTGACAGAGGAAACTGAAAAGCTTTGGGATTTATTTTTTTTTTAACAAATAAAACATGCAATCTAGATGATTTATTCTGAATACAATTATAATTGCATTTTCAACAGCTAGGCTTATTAGATCTTAAATCTGGTCTTAAAGCCTGTTAAACATTGAACTACTTAACACTATGCTCAATTGTTTTCTACTCTACATTGATATGAAGCTCTGACATCAAAATTTGTTCTGCAGATCAAAGATCTTAAATGCTAGTTAGCTCCCAGGTTCGGCCAAACACATACATTACTTATTAAATGACTAAAACTACATGCATTTAATCATCACAAAGTCTGTATTTACCAGTGCAACCTTAATACAGCAATTACCGAGAACATTTAATTATGTATTCTGCGCTCTAATCATTCCACATTACAAAATGGCAGTCTCAGAGAAAAAAAAAAATAGCCAACACAGAACTATAGCAGAACCTGTGCAATCATTACTTAAAAATTAAGCTTCTCCTTTTGTTTAATCTGTTTAAGTTTGTCTACTTAAAGAAAATTTGCTGTAAATTACATAGTACTAGAGTTGACCTTGATGTTACTTGAATGTCCTAATTTGTGGCTAGACTTGATAGTGTTAAGAATGAATAAACTTTTAGAATAATCAGTGTCTACCATCAAGAAATGGATTCCAATACTAAACATTCTAAGCATAAACATATACGTATGCATATGTGCATATGCAAGTATCTCAAAAACCAAATATACAGATGGTTGTAAGCACAAAAGTCACTGAAACCATTGCAGTTACTCTGCATCTGAGGATCTGAATTCAATAGCCTGGCAGAGAGAAAGGAAACTGCAGAAGACCTCAAGAAGTTCGACAGAAGTTATTCATGAGTACTCAAAATCCATTAGGACCTGCAAAGAAAAGTAAAGGCAGAATTCCCGTCCTGACAGAGCTTACAATCTAAATTCCAGTAAACAAGTAATAAAGTCACAAAAGGCAAAGAAAAAAAAATAAATCAAGAAATGAGGAGAAAAAGTGACAAATGTGGTACTATAGTGGAACAGATTCTCCTGGAAGCTATGTCAAGGCATATGGATATCCACAGGGAGGAGATTACAGACTGCCAATGTAGCTTCACAAAGGACAAATTATGCCTGACTAATCTAGTAGCCTTTTATAATGGAGTGACTGCATAGGTAGATAAGGGAAAAGCAAGTGATGTTATCTACCTGGAGTTCTTAAAGGCCTTTCACACAGTTTCACAACATACTTGTCTCTAAATTGGAGAGATATGGGTTTCATAGATGGACTATTTGATGGATTAGAAATTGGTTGGATGGCCACAGCCAAAGAATTGTGGTCAAAAACTCAGTGCCCAAATGGAGATCAGTAACAAGTGGTATCCCTTGGGTCAATATTGGGACCAGTACTATTCAATATCGTTATTAATAACAAAGATAGCAGGATTGAGTACACCCCTGAGCAAGCCTGTGGACAACACTAAGCCTGTGTCCTGGTTCTGGCTGATGTGGTTTAGCCTGGTAGCGCAGTTGATACACTAGAGGGAAGGGATGCCATCCAGCGGAACCTTGACAGGCTGGAGAGGTGGGCCCGTGCAAACCACATGAAGTTCAACAAGGCCAAGTGCAAGGTCCTGCACGTGGGTCAGGGCAATGCCCAGTATCAATACAGACTGGGGAAAGAATAGATTGAGAGCAGCTCTGCAGTACCTGGGAGTACTGGTGGATGAAAAACTGGACATGAGCCAGCGATGTGCACTTGCAGCCCCAAAAGCCAACCGTGTCCTGGGCTGCATCAAAAGAGGTGTGAGCAGCAGGTCGAGGGAGGTGATTCTCCCCCTCTACTGTGCTCTCGTGAGACCCCACCTGGAGTACTGCATCCAGCCCTGGGGGCCCCAGTACAAGAAAGATGTTGAGCAAGTCCAGAGGAGGGCCACGAAGCTGATCAGAGGGCTGGAGCACCTCTCCTGTGAGGACAGGCTGAGAGAGTTGTGGTTGCTCAGCCTGGAGAATGCTCTGGTGACACCTTATTGCATTCTTTCAAAATACAAAGAGGGCCTATAAGAAAGATGGAGAAAGACTTTTTACCAGTGCCTGCAGTGACATTGCAAGGGGCAACCATTTTAAACTGAAAGAGGGTAGGGTTTAGATTGGACATAAGGAAGAAATTTTTTAGTGGTAGGACACCGAAACAGGTAGCCCAGAGAAGTTGTGGATGCCCCCTCTACCTCCCTGGAAGTGTTCAAGGCCAGGTTGGATGGGGCTTTGAACAACTTAATCTAATGGGAAGATGATATTTAAGGTCTCTTCTGACCCAAACTATTCTATGATTCTATAGTAAGATGTAATGCTAACTTGTTTATAAATGTTGATGACCGTATTATGTTCTTCTAATTTATATCTTAAATCTTTCAAAAATTGAGGATTTTTGAAAGCATTAGTCCCAAAGATAGCCAAAAAAGGTAACAACACATCTGTTATCAATATCCACAAACAATTAAGACTGATATAGCTATAAAGTAAAAAGTGAAAAAGAAAGTGAGAGACAGTGATGAAAAGGAGGGCAAGGAGCTTACACCTAACATAGCAAAAAAAAAAAAAAAAAAAAGAGTCAAAACAATGAAGGCAAATTCTGATAGACAAGAACTGCAAGGTTAACATTTGCAATAAACAAAAATTTGCCGCAAGAGGGAAATGACTGAAGAAGAGAACAGATTTTGACCACTAG